CATTATTTTTATATATGCCTTAATATTATACCATACCATATACAACTTAATGCCCCTTGCTTTTTTCACTCCACATATTGTTATTGTCTGATGTTGGGTCATAGATGCTGCAGTAGAGAGAGAAGCTCACCAAGATACTAAGCCTTCATTGTGCCAAGGAGCAGAGAGGCACAGCCTTCTTGAAAAGACTGACACATGACTAGCTCATGCCAGTTACCTTATGCAAACAACCACAAGGTTAATTGGGATTGGGAAAGGTTCCAGCTACCAAAGTAATCTTGTTCTTGCTGTCCATGAGAGCAAAAAACCCACACAAATCTCAGTCCCTTCTCATTTTGGCAAGCCAGAATCAAAAGTAAGAAGTCTAGGTCTGCCAGGAAGTGTCTTGGGACCAAGGTCGGTGTAACTGCAAGCTCTCAGGGAGCGCCAAGTGCAGACTCTCCAGAGAAACAATTCTTCAAGGTTTAAATAGTCTCAAAACAATTTCTCAGTCTCTACTGATTAACCCAAACATAGCAATGACTTTGGTAAAATGATACTTTTAAAGTCAGACACAAAGGCTTTACTATACATTTCACTTAAATACAGTCTTTACTTACATATCACTACACATTATAGAGACCCACAGTGAATTCCAAACACAAAAAGACTAAGGAACTTGGCAAAGACTGCTGTTACCTCTGTTGTAATCACAGGGACTATCAGATTTCAAGATCTATATTCTAGTCTGTCACCCTCTTATTTCTAACAATAGTAAACCAGCCTAAGGTGATAACGAAAAAATTCTCTTCAAGAAGAAATGTTCAAGATCCTTTTGTTATCTATACTCCTCATATGAAGAGAATTGGGAAAAACTATCACCAGCTATGACAATGGATGCCCAAACTTCGTGTCAATTGTGAATAATCTCACAGATCTTAGCTTTCACTGACATGTGTGAGGAAGCGATTTAACAATTCAAAGTACCTCAGGATTATAAATTCAGGATAAGGTGCTCCATAAGCATGCAATGGGTGACTTGGCAGATGAATAGAAGGTAATTAGATAGTGTGTGGGTGGATGAAGGGATCAGGAAATAGTTGAGATAGATGGATGAGTAGGTGACTGAGTAGGTGAGTGAGAGTATAGAGGGGTAAGTGGATAGGTAGGTGGATGGCAGATAAGTGAGCAAGTAGATGGAAGTAATTCTATATATTGGTGGATAGTAGGTAAACATCAATTCTGAATTAAACCTTTAAGTTGATCTCATTTATACCTTGACAGAGAAACTTCATGAAGAAATTGACAGGGTTATTGGGCCAAGCCGTGTCCCCGCTGTCAAAGACAGACTGGAGATGCCCTACATGGATGCTGTGGTGCATGAGATTCAGAGATTCATCAATCTTGTCCCCTCCAACCTGCCCCATGAAGCAACCCAAGATACCAAGTTCCGAGGATATGTTATTCCCAAGGTGAGGCATGAGCCAGAGAGCCCTCCATGGGCATTATCACCTAAGCTGCCCTTCGGGACTGGAACTCAAGAACCTTTACCAGCCAGCATATGTGGCTGCAATGTGGGAATCAAGTCAGTACTCTTAACCTGCAGAACACTTCACTCACAGTCACCTCAATAACCCTGTGAACCAAAGAGTGAAGGGGATTGTGGAAAATGTCTCTTTCTACTGGTCCATAGGACTTGTAGAACATTGTAACACAGATCCCATGGCATCACTAACCCAACCTGGGACGCACCCTACAAAAGATATAGGGCCTTCCTCTTCACTTATATCTGATCCCTAGCTCTTTTCTATGTAATCCTTAAATAGACAACATGACAAATAAAATATGCTGTCCTTCATTATGTAACATTCCAACAGCCCTCTTCACAAGGTTCTTCCAGATGAAAGCCTATGTTTTCTTAACTTGACTAATAGGAACTTCTACTTCTTCCAGGGTACAATTGTGATTCCAACTCTGGACTCCCTTCTATATGACAGCCAAGAGTTTCCAGATCCAGAGAAGTTTAATCCTGAGCATTTTCTGAATGAAAATGGGAAGTTCAAGTACAGTGACTATTTCAAGCCATTTTCTGCAGGTAAGCATAGCTCTGGGGTCAAACCATCCCTGGGAAATTGTCTTCTCCAATCCTATGCCTACTTCCCACGTGCCCTTCACCTATCCTAGATGACGACTGCCGTCCCTACCTCCCATGCCCTTGTACACATAACACTAGTCTGTCCCTCCCTCTTCAGAGAAGTCAGATATCATATTTCACCAGAAGTCCTGGAAATGAGGACTAGGTTGATTATTTTATCAGAGTGGACATTTTTTTCTAGATTGTTAAACTGTTAAGCTGTTTCTACTTTAACCAGATGCCGTAAAAAGCTCTCAAAACTATATTACTTCATTTTGCTAAAGTCTGTTCTTCAGCTGCCTGAACTCTCTTTAGCAAGCATCTGGACCTTCCAGGTGGTCCCATCTCAGGGCCTCACCAAGGGTTCCAGTAAAGGGAGAGTCGCAGTCAGTTTGATAACTTTAACCACCTATGTTTGCATAGGCTTCCCTGTCCCACCTTCCTTGTTGTTATGGCAGAGAAGCTTTGGGTCCACTTCCCTACAGTACCGCATGCTTATGCAGCAGAGTTCTGAATGAGTGGTGTCAAAAGCTGGCCTGAGTCAACGTCACTGACACTCTTGCTCTCTGACATATGACCACTGGTGTCCAGGGACCAATGGGCAGGGACAGGAAATAATTTCAGGTGGTTTGCCTGAAACCTTCTGCCACACTTCCAACACCTCAGTGTTAGAAGTGTGAGCTCTACAAGGATCCCTCCACATCTCACCAGCACTGTTGTTACTTCTAGGAAAACGTGTGTGTGTTGGAGAAGGCCTGGCTCGCATGGAATTGTTTCTGCTCTTGTCTGCTATTCTGCAGCACTTTAATCTGAAGTCTCTGGTTGACCCGAAGGACATCGACCTCAATCCTGTCACAGTTGGCTTTGGCAGTGTCCCACCTGAATATAAACTTTGTGTCATTCCCCGCTCATGAGACCTGGTAACTACCTGTCTCGAGTGAAAAGTCAACAGAGACACCATTATTATCCCTTAAAATGTAACCATTTTTAAAAAATCTCAAGTATATAGAGTTCCTATCATAAAATGGAAAAAATAAATAAAATCTTGATGAATTATATATTAGTTGTGGACTTAGTGAGGGGAACCTTGTCCCCTTGGGTATGTAAAAGTTCCCCAGTGGGGGAATACTATTCCATAGCCAACAGTATAACATCTTCCAATCTGTCTGTCCCTGACTTCTCTCTAGTATTTCTTTGGATATGTGGGATGATCCTGGTTATCTACCCATCACAAAACCCTGAATTTAACTGTATATTCAAAGTTCTCTTACCATATAGAGTAATGTATTCATAGATTCTTGGGATTATAATATAGTACGTTAGACTGGCCCCACTTTCCAGCTCAACTACTTGGGTACACTACTGAAATCCAAAGCTAATAGACACAACAGTGGCCCCACTGAAAGTACTTGGATCACCATGACTCCACAAAGGCAAGACTGCTTCCAGAAAAAACGAAAAGTGTAATTATAAAATGTGCTTTGGGACAGAGAGGTTCCAACTTAAGGATTGCTATTAGGGAAATTCTGAAGTGACAGGGAAAAGATAGGGTGTATGTAGCTCTAAGGGCCATTAACTAACTGTAGCATCATCTGGCCTCTGCCTGAGGTTGACACCTGATCAGCAGAGCCACTATTTTCACTTAGTGGTGAAGCTTGGAATGGCTCAATTCCGGTTGTCTTTTCAAGGAAATAGCATTAAATTCTCAAGTACAAACCAAGCAAGGCGGTACATATCTTTAATCCCAGCACTCAGGAAGCAAAGGCAGGCAGATCTCTGAATCTGAGATCAGCCTAGTCTACATAGCAAATTCTAAACCAGTCAGGACTACACAGTGAGACTCTGTCTCAAATCAAACAAACCAAACAGTACAGTTCTTTGGGAGAATTGGTCTTACCTTAAGGGATTTACTATTGCTCTGTAGTATACATATTTCTTCCAGGGTTGGCAAGTTCATGCCCATCTTGAAGATACAGAGACTGTGGCAACCTACAGAACCCTTGTCCCTGAATCATGGCAATGAAACACGCTACACAGAAGATAGTGAGCTCTATGAGAATAGAGTTGTTAGCATTCACTTCTGCATGGAAGGGTGAAGTCACAAGGCCCTCGGGAGATCCTTACAAGATCCTCTTCTGAGATTCCATTCAATACTCCCTCATTCCCAAATGTTACAATCTATAAGAGGAAAAAAAACTGACTTGGGGCAGGACTTTTCATTAAGAGGTATAGCTGCCTCTGAATTATCCATGCTCTTGTAAATCACCCCACTGACTCATGTATTCACTGGGCTGGATTAGACAAAATCTTTCTTTGTTGTCTCCATATCTATTTGGGGAGAATATACATTTAATTTGCACATTACTAGGAAAACAACAAAGCAAATGGCAACCAAACCAGGACCCAGAAGAACCAAGGATGAATGGGGAGGGTCTGCCCACTTATGTCCTCAGCAAACAAATGACCATTTTTAATTTGGGATATTCCTGTAACACTGTCTTGTTCATGAACAATACAGACTACATACAGACTCAAATTACACTGACTTTGCTTAAAGAATGAGGTGGATTCTAGAATTAAGTAAGAATTGGCGATGTATCTTTCTTTTATTTCTAAGTCAATGCTATGTGGCCTATATGAAGGAATTAAACTACAGGTAGATTCAGATCCTGTAAGAAGGTCCACATCTTCTGCCCAGGGGCAGAAGAGTGAGCAAGAGATGGGGAAAGCATTAACTAATGACTTACAGTATGGACCCTAAGCTAGTCAATAATTAAAATTGAACCAATGTATCTCCAGGTTCAAAGAGTTGAGGGGCTTGGCCCTAACACCCATTCTCCCACCCAAGACATACTCAGATGAAGCAAACTATACAAAACAGCCTTTATTTCAAAGGGTCCCATATGGTGACCTGGTAAGTCTTCCAGGTCAAGAAGGGTATCAGGTCCTGCTTGGCGGGCACTCTTGGTCTTCCTCCTCATGGACTCCTAGGGGCTTGGGACTGGCCTGTGGGAGGTAAAGGTCCAGGAATATTTTCCTGCTCATGCCATTCCCCCTTCCACCTTTCTGTACCCAAGCTACCATGGATTTACACCTTTGCCTTAGCTATGCCTCCTGCAGTATGAGTACTCTTTCCCACAGTCTATACTCTGGGGAACGCCACTATCCTCCTTTCCCTTTGCTCCAGGATGTACCATCCTCTGTGAGTTGTCTCCTTCATCTTGCATACTCTGAACTTGGGCAAGGATCTGTAACCCATGCTTTTCCAGTTCTTCTTTCAGCCTGTTAAGGAAGAGTGAACAAAGAGAAGGGATGCAGGCAAACTGGGGAAGAATGAAGAGGCACATGGTAGAACAAGGGAAGCAGATGTCATTCATCTTCATGAGAGGAATGAGGACACAGGAGCTCCACGCCTACCTCTGTCGTTTCTGTTGCAGCTGTAGGCACCTCTGCTGCAGCTGCTGGTGGTGCTGAGCTGCAGCCTCTAGGAGCTCCTCAGCTTTCTTGTTCTCCTCCTTGAATAGCTGCCTGGAAGTAGGGGAAAGATTCAGTGCTGGGTATTTCCTCTTCCTGCCCCACCCTGCATCTTACAATGCTGTAGCTGCCTCATGGCTTCGGAGGAAGAGCCCCTCGTTGAGGGTGGAAGGCCCCTCAGGCCCGCACAGGGCATACAGCCGATGTTTCACATCCTCCAGCTTTACCTCCATCAGTTTCTCTGCAGAGAGAAAGAGTAATGAGCAGGTGAGGGTAGGCTGGAGCAGGTGAGCGCCACCCTTCTACCCAGGCCTCACCTTCCTTGAGCAGCTGCTCCTTGCTGCTGTCCAAAGCACATATCTCATTTGCCAGATGTTCAGGCTTCTGAGGGGTGGCACAAAAAGACCCATCCAGATCTCCCAGCTTCCTCGTGCTTCAGAGAAGCCTGTACAGATCTAGTCATTTCCTTCCTAAGTTTCACTTCCTAGTTCCCTGCCCCTCAATGCACGCAAACAATGGCATAATCTTGATGGCACTAACCCTGTCATTCCCTCTTTGGACCTTCCAACCCTGGAAACAGGTTCAAGGGAAAGTATTTGAAACCCTAAAATCTGCAAACCTACAATCCTCAGCCACTCTCTGGAGAGTGAGATACTAGTGTTTCTTCTCTTCTCTCCTCCGTGGCCTCCTCACGGACTTCTGACATTAACCCATGTCCCTACTGGGGTCTGGGAACTCCCAGGTAAATACTGACTGTTCCCTGCTGTCTCTCCTGTGTCTGGGAACTCCCAGGTGAATGCTGACTGTTCCTGCTGTCTCTCCTGTGACTGGGAACTCCTGGAGTGAATGTTGACTGTTCCCTGGTGTCTCTCCTTGTGGCACAGTCTCAAACACATGCATGGACACTGTCCATGGATGACTCCACTGGTGTTATCACCGTACCCCCAGAACACTGAATGGACACAGCAATATTGGTGATTGTGAAAGACAAGCAGTGAGGACATCAAGCACCTCAAGAGTGGTCACCAGGGGCTGGACATATGGTGACAGAGCAGGACCAAAGTTGCACAGGAACCAAGTGTGTAGGTGGCATAGCTCTGTATGACTCACATGAAATTCCAAGAGGTCCTTGTGCTGACTCATCAAAACCTCCAGCTGTTCTTCAAATTCCAACCTAGGAGCCAATCACAGAGCCACAAAGGCCATAAACTACCACAGAGCTTGGCTGAGGCCTAAGCCTGTATAGCACTTAGGGACTTTGTTTATTACCACTATCCCACAGGGAATACATTTGCCTCCTTGATCATCCAGGGCATTCCTGTACCTAGAACACATCTCTAGCCCAAGCTCACCTCAGTTGTCTTAGTTTGTCCTTCTCCTTGTCAATCTGAGAGTTCAGGAAAGAAATTCTCTCTTTACACTCATGTAGCATGCTGTGCTTCCTGGGAAGGGAACCGACATTCAGTCGTGTGTTTGAATGACTCCCCAGAGGGCAGGCCGGGGACTTCTATCCTGTTCCTCTCTAGTCAGTGGGCAGTGTGGGAAGTAACAGAGCACTCAGGGGTCCACCGCAGGCATGGCATCTCACCTTTGTGTCTCACTCTCCTTCTCCTGGCACTGCAGCCGAAGAACCTTCAGGGTCTCTGTAATGACAACAGGGCCCTCTGAGTGCTTGCTGAGGCATCAGGTTTGCCAGATGGAACAAAACAGGTCATGTGAAGTCTATGGACACCTGATTGGACTTTGACATTTTCTGGATCTGGTAACAGCCATGGGAAGGGCACAGGTCAGAGGTCTCAAGGTTCTAGCTACTAGAGAGAGTGGGCTTAGAAAGGGCATCACAAAGCCTAGAGTGGGGAATATGGGAATACCTTGCTTTTTGTTCCAGATATCCTTCAGACGTGCTTTCTCTTCAAGTACTAGAAAACATGATGAAGGTTCAGACATTAGGAACCAAACACAGAAATGTCAAGGACAGTCATATGAGAGGCAAGGTATACATCTGTGACCCCAAGACAGATGCAGTTTTTTTGAGGTCAGTTCCCACCCCTATGGTACTCACACTCCTGTAAACACAATGGGCCCTAACATTCACAAGAGATGTCTGTGAGGACAATGTGTGACATCCATTAGGACTGGGGAGAACCACATCAATCAAAAAGAGCCATGTGACCAGGTGACACAAGATGATAAAAAGACTTCTCTAGTAATTCAGAGCCGGTGCTGTGAGGCAAGAACTTGTATGATCTGTGGTAATACCTGGAGGATCATCTCTGCAAAGGACTTGGGGCATTTCCAGAACTCTCCTATTAGAAGATGGGATGCTAGAAGAACATGACCTTGGAGGAAGAGAAGAATCCTGGCCCTGGTGAGGCTACTAAGTGCCTGTAACATTGCACTGAGAGAAGTCTGAGATATTCTGGGAACTTACAGTGACTCTCAGTTAACTTACATGAGTCCAGGTCCTTCTGCAGGCTATCCCAGACAGTCTGGGCCTCTCCAAGTTCCTCACTGGCTTTCCTTTTTGCTTTACCAAAGAACAGAACAAACATTTGGTAAGCACAGCCTCAAACAATGATATTTCATATTTGTCTCCAAGAAAACCTAGAGGGGCCCAGATTTTACAAAACGAGAAACAAGGCTTTCTAAATCCTGGCCCTTCTTTCTGGACTCAGGTGGCAGCAAGGCCATTCACAGGTAAATGAAGGCTATGGCAATTACACACAGAAGGGGCTTTCACTTACACTCTCATAAAAGAACTACAGATATTTAACAAGGACACCTGCATTTCCACACTGGACCTAGCCCGGAAAAACATGTAGCTGGTCTTGGATAGCAGCCAAAACTGGGCTCACCTTGCTGAACCTCATTAATGCGGTTAATCAGGACCTCAATCCGGGGCTCTAGACTTCCCACTGCAGGGCAAAAAGGAAGCTCATTGTTGATAGAGTGTGACTGCCCAGGATCCTACAGCCTTCCCTCCATGCCTATCTGCTGAACATCTCATAGGCTCAGGGGCTACATTATAGTCTCAGACATGAGTGTGAGGGTCAAGGCAGTGGTAACTTCTGTGGAGAGAAACAAAGCGCAGGAAAAGGTCTACAGATAAAGCTCAGGGTGCTTCTCAGGTGTGAGAAAGGAAGGTCCTCGGGCTCTCTGGGTAGAGTGGAGGGTGCAAAGTGCAAAGGCCTGTCCTGAGGAGGAAACAAGATGAAATAGGAACAATAAAGTTATGGGTAAAACCTCTGTATCTAACAGTGTTGTGCAATCAAGGGAGTCTTGGGACAAGGTTTTGGCAAAGCATTTTGCCTTTTATCCACTCATGCTTCCATAATTTTGAGACATTGGGGGCTCCATTTTTTGCTCAAAAACTAAAATTTAAGGGCCCAGTGAGATGGTGCTGTGGGTAAAGATCACCAAGTCTGACAACCTGAGTTTGATCCCTCAAGCTCACATAGTAGAAGGACAGAACTGACTCCCTTAAACTAGCCTCTGACTTTGACACATTCTTTGACATTTTGTGTGTGTGTATGTATGTATGTGGGTGAGCATGAACCATTGTGCGCGCACACACACACACAATGTTTCTTAAAAATTAAAATTTAAGTTCAAAAGCATCTATTTTATTTTGTGCATATGAGTGCTTTGCTTGCATATATGTCTGTGCACCACATGTGTGCCTGGTGCCTACAGAGACCAGAAGAGGGATCAGATCTCCTAGAGCTGGACTTACTAAAAATTGTGAGACATCATGAGTGCTGAGAAACAAAGCCAGTCCTCTGCATAAGCAGTTGGTGCCCTAACTGCTGACTGTCTCAATACACACATCCCCAAATTTAAGTCTTAAAGAAAGTTAATATGAATAAAGTAATTTCTTATTTTTGTGGAGTTGAATCTACATCTGCTTGACTTCAAACCTCAGGGTAAGTCTCATAGGCAAAAGAGACACATGACCTTTCTGCAACTTCTTCACCATTTCCATTAAGCCTTCAATTTTCTGTGTGGTCACACGCTGCCCTGTGGAGATACAACCAAACATTTCAAACTCGGTGGTATAAATAGCCAGGAGACGGGTCCAAGACCTAGGCTGATACTAAGATTAACTGAGGACAGATCTCTAACCAGAACAGTGTTACTGATCCTTGTCCCAAAATGGGTAGTACAAAAATGTGAGCTGGGCCCCTCCATGGACAGCCTTTCCTACCTGGTGCAATAGCACCCAGCATATTCACTCACAAAACTCCCGGTGAGGGCAGCACTATGTTTAGTTCCCTTGTGCTGCTGAGGTCCTCAAAGCTGGGTCAAGTTCGTGAAGGATTCAGGTACGAGATTGGGTGTGGTGGCACGGACCTGTAATCTTGGAAGGAGTGGCAGGAACGTCAACAGTTTAAGTCCAGCCCAGCCTTTTTCACAAGGTCAAGTTCACCTTGAGCAAACGGCTAAGGAGGTGACTAAGGGTGCCTGCATATTCAAGCCCCTGATAGTCACCACTGGGGCAAGAGGATGTTGCTAAAAAACTGGAAAGTAATTGAAAAAATCACTGCAATGGGCTGGTAGCATTATCAGTTAGGAAGTTCTACGAAGTATTATGCAAAAGCACACTGACTATAAGCAAAATGTATTAGTAAGGGATCTGGTTAAAGTATACATTCACATAGCTTTTCTATAGACAATTGATAGTGATTATAAAGTTCCCACATAAAGTAACATTTTGTAGTCATTTTTTAGTTTTTTGTTTGTTTGTCTCTTTTATTTATTTTTTTTTTAAAAAGAGGATTTCACTATGAACCACCATGGCTGTCCTGGAACTTGCTCTGTTTACCAGGCTGGACTTGAACTCAGAGATCCACCTGCCTCTGCCTCCCAAGCACTAGGATTAAAGGTGTGTGCCACTGCTGCCCAGCAATATTTATAGCCAATATATACACCTATTTTTAATTCTCTGGTGAATTAGATGTAGGAAATCACTACTTCTGTCATTACCATCACAACAAAGGAAGCAGACATTATGAGTCACCTAATTTTAAAAATGAAAATGCCACCTATTAAGAACTCTTGTAGCTGGGCGGTGGTGGCGCATGCCTTTAATCCCAGCACTTGGGAGGCAGAGGCCGGCGCATCTCTGTGAGTTCGAGATCAGCTTGGTCTACAAGAGCTAGTTCCAGGACAGGCTCCAAAACCACAGAGAAACCCTGTCTCCACAGAGAAACCCTGTCTCAAAAAACAAAAACAAAAACAAAAAAAAAAAACCCTCTTGTAAAACTGATGCTAATATTTATTGACTAAGGCTCAAGTTCTTTATTTTATTTTTATTTATTTTTATTTTTTTTATTTTTATTTTTTTTATTTTTTGGCTCAAGTTCTAAGAAACAATTCAGGCAGGGCTAGAGACCCACAGTAAACAGCACTTAACCGTGCATGTGAGACCATCCAGACTGGGAAACTATGGAGAGAATTTTTTTAACATCAAAGGGAAAGGGGGTAGAAAGGAAGACACCTAAGGAATAACAGAATCTTAAGAGACAAATCAAAATAAATAAATATATAAATAAATTTAAAATCAATTTAGTCTCAAAAAAATTAGTGAAAGTATATTTTGATCCAAATAAATGCATTGTAAAAAATACTAAAACAATTAGCAAATGTTTTAAATCAACTAGATACTTGCTGAGATAAAGGAATTGCTGGCGCCATTCTTTAGCTGTAGTGAGAGTGTTATTTTTCTGGGGCACTTGTCTCTAGATACCTACATGGGATATTTATGGATGCCACTGCTGTCTGGACTGCTCTGTCATGAAACAGGGGACTGGGTAATGGGGGAGGGGAAAAGTGACGAACAAGTCATAAATGTTAAAGCTGGAGGGTAGACTCACGGCTTAAGCCCACTTTGCTCTGTGCTTTTGTATAAACTGAGTTCATCTCAATAATAATATATTTTATCGCCCCAATGCATAGACACTAAATCGCTCTGCAGAAGTTTGGAGAACAGAAGTTTTGCTCAGAGGCGATCCGGACACCCCACGCTAGGCACGCCGGGATGGCGTCAAGTTCTGGAAGCACAGGGCGACTCCAGTTTGGGTAGGGCCACCTGACTCCAGGCCTGTGGCCACAGGGCCCCCGGGGCCAGCCTGCTCTGAAGGTGACAGGAAGACCCCACACTAGGCCTGGCATCGCAGAGGGGCAGCGGGCTGGCTCCAAGGTGAGTCACCCCCTCGGGGCCTCCGCCCAGGGTTAGCGCCCGCCGGCCCATCTCCTCAGGCCTCGACAGGAGGACATGTCACCCCACCAGCTCGCCCGGCCAACCCAGGCGCCCTTCAGCCACTACCTCCAGCCCCCTCAGGCCCGTAGAGCTGCTCCGCTGATCCCTCGGGCTCCACACCCAACGGCTGCGGTCTGGTGGCCATCCCGCTCCGTTTCCCTCAGCTGCCGCAGCAGCCTCGAAGCTGTTCCCCACTGCGCCTGCGCAGAGGCCGCCATGCGGTCATCTGCTGCGCATGCGCGGAAGGAACTTTGGGGCCAACGCCCCGCTCTCTCCCCCTGAAGTGAAAATCTCCAAGTCGGTGATTGGCCAGTTTCGGAGGCAAGTGTCTGAACAAGAAGGAAGGCCTATCCCTCTACAAGAGTTAAGGTTATGGTGGTTAGGGAGAGAATTGATTAGCATTAGAATGGAAATTTTCTACCCTCGGACAGAACAGTTATACTGAGCAGACCCATGATGCCTACTGAAAGAACTAAAGGACCTGAGGTGGACATGGTAAGCAGCCCAGTGCCCAAGACACCTTTCACCACTACTTCTAAAGAGCCTGATGCCTCCCCCTGTGCTATGCCTAAGCCATCTGCCAAGACAGCCCGGGTCTGAGCACACCCAGCTGGGGGAACTACTCTCACCTTGCTCGTCTGTGGGAGTCTCTGTGACTCAGGTACAGATCTCCTTAGACCAGAATAACCCAATAGTCCGTGTTTGGTAGTTTGCTGGGCCCCATCTCACCCTGAGGTCTCAGATACCTGCCCTGGAACCATTAGGTTCTCAGAGTTCTTAATGGGGGAAATCTGGTGAACTCCTCCCCTGACAGATGCAAAGTAGGGTTCCCTGGATCCCACTTAGCAGCAACTCGTGAGAATGAATGCCAGGTTCTTAGATTGTAAAGATGCTTTTATGTACCTGGTGTTAATAAATAACCCGGCATGAGGTAGCCATAGGGAAATAAATAGTATATATTAAGAATTACGTAGTCTGCATTTTATGGAAGACCAAGACTAAAATTATGTATGTGTCTGTGTGTAGATATATGTATATATGTTACTTGTTGATATTTTATGATAGCCACATATTTTTTCATGATCAGCAATATGAGAACATGCATGGTGAGAATGGGCATGGTGGCACCCCCTTAATCCCAGGACTCAAGAGGCAGAGGCAGGCAGATCTCTGTGAATTTGAGGGGATCCCTGTCTAATTCCTGACTTCGGTGGGATGGCTTCAAGCTTGTCTTTATTTAGGATGATATTGGCTATGGGTTTCTCATTCATAGCTTTTTTTATGTTGAGGTATGCTCCCTCTAGCTCTACATTCTCTAGGACGCTCATCATGAATATATTTTGGATTTTGTCAAAGGTTTTTTCTGCATCTATTGAGATGTTCATGTCATTTTTGTCTCTAAGTCCATTTATATTAATACATTTACTGACTAGTGTATACCACATAACTATGCATTTCAGGGATAAAGCCAACTTGGTTATAGTGTGTAACGTCGTTGATGTATTTCTGTATTTTATTTGCAATGGTTTTAGTAAGGATTTTTGAGTCTATGTTCATCAGGGATGTTGACCTGTAGTTTTCTTCTTTGTGGAGGCCCAAAAGTACAAGGCTGTTTTCATGTTGACCAAAGGTCAGAGAGTTGGAACTTACCTCTAGTTCCTTCAAGGTTATTGTGCTTCTACCTGAAAGGTCCCACCTAGACAGAGACCAGAGAGTTCTGTTCTCTCAAGGTTATTGTCAACGGGTGTGGCTCTAACCAGACCTTGTACTCCTGGTAACAAAGAAGTAGACAAGGTTGCTACCGCAAACAAAAGTCTAAGGAGCAAACTAAGTTCCAGTTCCCTTAAGAGATAACTTTGAATTCCACCCAGGGAGTGGTTTGCCTACAGAATGTTTTGGTCTAGGGTGTGTGTGTGTGACTTGCTTTGTTCTAGCAACAGGTTTTTGTTTTTTGGTGTGTGTGTGTGTGTGTGTGTGTGTGTGTGTGTGTCTACACAGCCTGAGACCTTCAACTGGTCTGTTCATTTTCTTGTATCACGTTAATGTCTTCTTTTGTCTTACTCCGACCTTTTGGAGTCAGGAGTATTTTAAGCAGTTGGACACCGGCAAATTCAGTTCTCACTGGAATTCCCTCCCTATACTATCCTATATGTTTCTCCGTTTTATTATTTTCATTCACTTCTTCATACTCTTTACTAATATTTTCTAAATCCCCACGCCTCTGCCTTGGCAAGAGGTATTTTTGTTGAGGCTGGTTCCCGACACTCCTTCTTGTCCCTTTTCCTGCTTTGGGTAGTAAAGTGACCCGAGCTCTGTGGAAGGAATTTGGGAGTCCTCCCTCTGTTTCTGTCTTTTTAAGAGTTAAAGAAAGATCGGACATACATCTTCACTGAAAGAATCCATCTGACCCTAGACTTTATTTTCTAGCTGGAAGACTTTTTATTACTATTTCAATCTCCTCATTTGTTGTGTGTCTGTTTAGAATGATGACTCCTTCTTAATTTCCAGATTAATGGAGTACAAGTTCCTAAAGTATTATCCTATAATATTCTGAATTTCTTTGGTGCCTATTGTAATGTTTCCCTGCTCCTTCCTGCTTCTGTTAATCTGGGTCCTCATTTTTCTTTCTTTTGGTTAGTTAAGTCAATGGTCTATGAATCTTGTTCATTTTTTCAAAGAACCACCTCTTAGATTCATTGATTCTTTTTTATTGTTTTCTTTATTCTATTTCAATGATTTCTGATCTGAATTTTATTATTTCTTGCCTTAGATTAGGTTTGGATTTGATTGGTTCCTGTTTCTCCAAATTTTTGAATGGTACCATTAAGTTATTTATTTGTAATCTTTCTGATTTTTTTTTTAATGAAGGTACTTAGAACTACAAATTTCCCTTGCAGGACTGTTTCCAATGTGTTACAGAGGTATTGGTGTGTTGTGTTTTCATTTTTGTTAGTTCCAGGAAAGCTTATTAGTTTTTTCTTGATTTCTTCCCTGACACACTCATCACTCAATAATGAATTGTTTCATTTCTATGAGTTTCTGTATTTACTAGAGACTTTTTCTGTCAGTTTTAAGTGTTATTAAATTGTTATAAGTTAGGATACAAGAAGTAATTTCATTTCTTTTGAATTTGTAAAGGTTTGTTTTGTGTCTCAGGGTATGGTCTATTTTAGAAAAGCTTACATTGTGCTTTGGAGTAAAATGTGTATTCCTTCATTGTGGGGTGGAATATTCTGTACTATCTGTTAATTCATTTGATGTATGATGGTAGTTATATCTGATGTTCCTCTATTTTTTGTTCAGATGACATGTCTATTGGAGTGAAGTGTAAAATTATCTGTTATTAATAGGTTGATGCTAATCTCTGTCTTTAAATCCAGTAGTATGTTTTTTTGTGAAATTGGATGTCCCAGAGTTTGGTACATATATGTTTAGGATAATAAAGTCTCCCTGGATAACTGTTCCCTTGATTAGAATTAAGTGTCTCTCTATTTCTTTTGATTATTTTTACTTTGAAGTTTATTTTGTCAGATACTAGGATAATGATGTCTGCTTGCTTTCTGGTCCCATTTTATTTGAATAGTTTTTCAACCATTTTACATTAAGGTGGCACATAGTTTTATGGCTAAGTTATGTTTTTTTGTAGAGAGCAGATAAATGGATTTTGTTTCTTGATATATTCATACAGCCTCTGTCTTTTGATTGGAGAAATGAGGTCATTGATACTTAAAGTAAATATTGAAATTTGTGTGCCATTTAGACCTCTACCACAATTTTAGTTGGATTATTTGGTATTTCGGTATCTAGTTTCTTGAGTTCTTAATATATTTTAGAGATCAGACCTCTGTCAGATGGAGTTGGTGAAGATCTTTTCCCATTCTATAGGCTGCTGTTTTGTCTTATTATTATTTTTGCATCTTTGTACTCTTTACTTATATTTCTAATCCCCACACCCCTACTCTAGCAAGTGGTATTTTTGTTGAGGCTGAACTCCAAAACCCCATCATGGTCTGAAGCTCTGTGCTCACATTCTCACTCCTCCCTCTCTTTGACCAGACTGTGGGAGCTCAGCACAGTGCTCTGCTATGGATCTCTGCATGTGCTTCCATCCGCTGCTGGCTGAAGGTTCTATGATGACATTTAAGATAGTCATCAATCTGATTTCAGGGGAAGGCCAGTTCAGGCACCTTCTCCACTATTGCTTAGGGTTTTTGCTGGGGTCATCCTTGCGGGCTCCTAGGAATCTCTCTAGTGCCAGGTGTCTTGCCAGCACCACAATGGCTCTATTTCTTTTTCAAGGACTCTATCTTTTTTCTTTTCTTTCCCAAATCTACATATATCTTTAAACACACTGTAAACTGTTTACAGGTGTTTTTCCTGTCTAAATTTGTCTTTATTATATATCTCTTTTTCTGAGCACATGAAACTATATCTGCTAAGCAGCATGGCTAGCATTAAAGCTGCAGCTTTGGTGGCTGAGTCCATTCCTTGGCTTCCTGAGAGTCTAGCTTCATGGCAGAAATATTGGCAGAAGCCACATTTATTATCCCAACTCTATGGAGTTTCTAGGTCCATGCCACCACCAAGAAGCATGATGCCAGTTGCTCATAAACATTTCTTTAAATGTCTCTCAGCCATTTGAGAATTCTCAATAGAGATCTATACATGGTTTTTAAATTGGATTGTGTGATTTGCTGATGTCTAGTTTCTTGAGTTCATTATATATTTTTATTATTAGTCCTCTCTTGGATGTGGGTTTGGCAAAATGTTTTCCCATTCTGTAGGTTGTCCCTTATCTAGTTGATGGTGTCCTTTGCTTTACAGAAGCTTTCCAATTTCACGAGGTCCCACTTATTAATTTTTTTTTTATTTTTGGTTTTGGTTTTTCGAGACAGGGTTTCTCTGTGGCTTTGGAGCCTGTCCTGGCACTAGCTCTGTAGACCAGGCTGGTCTCGAACTCACAGAGATCCGCCTGCCTCTGCCTCCTGAGTGCCCCACTTATTAATTGTTGATCTTAGTGCCTGTGCTATCAGTGCTCTGTTCAGGAAATTGTCTCCTGTGCCAATGTGTTCAAGACTATCCCCCATTTTCTTTTCTATCAGGTAGGGTGTATATGGTTTTATGTTGAGGTCATGCATCCACTTAATCATGAGTTTTGTGCAGGGTGATAAATATGGAACTGATTGCATTTTTCTACACGCAGACATTCAGA